GCCCCCCCCCCCCCCCGCCCGTCTCTCAGACATCAGGAGAGGCACGAGCTGGCCCGCTGGCCTGCGCTCGCGAGTCATCAGTGTCGGACACGCAGTGGGAGCGAGCAGGTCCCGATGCACAAGTCACGGCAACCCTGGGCGGAGATGAAGGCGGACTCCGACCGGCTCTGATTTTTAAAATCCCTTTTCATTCAGGAGGTCGGTTGCCGATGGCTATCAATATGGCAGATCCGTTATCCCGAGAGCCCAACGCTGCAAAAATGGCGTCACTGAACCGGGTCCGAGCTTTGGCGATGATTTTCCTGACTGTCACCGGCTGCTGCGTGGCCCCGACCAGCGGCAAGGAAGGGTCCGAGGAGACGGTCATCATCGGGCTGCGGCTGGAGGACACGGACGACATTTCCTTCATGGACAGGGGCTACCTGCGCGTGAGCGAGCGCTCGCGGGTGAAGCTGAGGGTCTACGGGCAGAACATCAACAACGAGACCTGGTCCAAGATCGCCTTCACGGAGCACGAGCGGAGCCGCGCGGCGGCGGGGGGGGCGGGGGGGGGGGGGGGGGGGGGGGGGGGGGGGGGGGGGGGGGGGGGGGGGCTTTGACAGCTCCTCCGGGGACAACCAGAGCCGGGAGGACCCGTCCGGCGCGCATCCCTGCGGGATCCGGACCTCGGACATCATCATACTGCCCAACATTGTCCTGAACCGCAAGACGTCCGGCATCGTGGAGATCGAGGTGAAGCCCCTGCGCAAGACGGAGAGGAGCAAAGCCTACTTCCTGTGCACGGCCGCGGCCGCGCCGCCCGCCGCCGCCCCCGGGGGCGCGCACGACCCCTGGACCGAGCACACCTGGATCTACCACGACGGGGACGACACGCGCGTGGTGGTGGTGGAGGAGAAGAAGTTCCTGCTGCCCTTCTGGCTGCAGGTGATCTTCATCTCCATGCTGCTGTGCCTGTCGGGCATGTTCAGCGGCCTGAACCTGGGCCTCATGGCGCTGGACCCCATGGAGCTGCAGATCGTCCAGAACTGCGGCACGGAGCGCGAGAAGAACTACGCCAAGAAGATCGAGCCCGTGCGCAGCCAGGGCAACTACCTGCTCTGCTCGCTGCTGCTGGGCAACGTGCTGGTCAACACCACGCTCACCATCCTGCTGGACGACATCGCCGGCTCGGGCCTCATCGCCGTGGTGATGTCCACCATCGGGATCGTGATCTTCGGCGAGATCGTGCCGCAGGCCATCTGCTCGCGGCACGGCCTGGCCGTGGGCGCCAACACCATCTTCCTCACCAAGTTCTTCATGCTGCTCACCTTCCCGGCCTCCTACCCGGTCAGCAAGCTGCTGGACTACCTGCTGGGCCAGGAGATCGGGACCGTGTACAACCGGGAGAAGCTGCTGGAGATGCTGCGCGTGACGGACCCCTACAACGACCTGGTCAAGGAGGAGCTGAACATCATCCAGGGCGCGCTGGAGCTGAGGACCAAGACGGTGGAGGACGTGATGACCCCGCTGCGCGACTGCTTCATGATCCCGGCCGACGCCACGCTGGACTTCAACACCATGTCGGAGATCATGAAGAGCGGCTACACGCGCATCCCCGTGTTCGAGGGCGAGCGCTCCAACATCGTGGACCTGCTCTTCGT